TGTACCCGATCCGTCCACCATCTTTTAGGATATCCAGTAAGGCTGCTGTCTTTATCTATTCATTTTTTCACACAACTTTCTCGTTTTCCGTTGGTCTCCATTTTTCAAATCAACCATAATCACATAAGCAAACAAACATGTATAAAGGAATACAATCATATCTCAATTTTCTAACTAAACAGTGATCACGTAAGGCAGCAATACATACATTCAAACCATAAAATTGATAAGTTAGATACTATCATGCTTTTAAAATATAAAATAAATCAACAAAAATCAACAGAAAATAATTTTCAGTTCTGGTTCCATTAGCAATTCGTAATTAATTATGCACATTTATTAAATTCGCACAAAATACTATATTTTTATTTATTTAAATTTCAATTTTATGATAGGAAATAGGGTGAGGGATCCTTACTCGATTTGATGTTAGAAAAGCTAAACTGTTCGACTGCGCCTACGGGTGATTCTCAGGTTTCATGAATTTTTCTTTGGAAATTAAAACGTGCTAATAGTACCTACAGATGTCCCAAACAAACCTAAAATCAGTCATAAGATGGATAGTTTTTGGCTGAATTTGACCGATTCTGCATCGATCCCTACGAGAAAATACGTTAAAGGGCATCGGTTGGCCGAAAAAACACAAAAAATTGAAACTCACTAGCGGCGGGGCTCTCTAGTGCGGCGGCTCCTTCGACTCACATTGCAGTTGTGTGTTTTGCTCCAATCAACCTGTAGAGAAGGACACGGTGATCACAATAGCGAAAAAGTTACATAAAACAAGAATCGGGAAGGGCCTCATCGGAGGCGTTCTATGAAACTTCCCGCAGCAGCGGCGCTAGGCTTCGCCGGCGTTTTTCGATCAATTGGCCTGTCTTTTTGCTCCGATTTGGCTATGGGTGTGCTTAAAATTGATTTTTGAGTAAAAATTTTTTTTAACCTTTTTTAGCGGTCAGAAAAAGCTCCGGTGCGGCGGTAGTGTCCTTTCAGGGATCAGATCTTCTTATCCGGCGAGGGGTTTTGCGGCTAAAGTTAGGGTTTGGTGTAGATGATAGTTATTTATATCCGTATACTTTTGATCTGTACTGTCCGATTGCGGGTACGCGGATCGCCCGCGTGGCCTCCCGTGTGACACCACGTCAGTGTCCGTTGCCACACAGCGCGTCTTGATTCACCGGGATTGCTGACCGGGCATCCTACGTGGTAATTTTTTTTAAATTACGTTTTGACTTTTAGTTTCTGATTTTTCGTTCAAAAATACTATCAGAACCCAAATTTTTACCCATTTTTCTCAAAATCGATTTCAATTTCATACTCCATTAATTTTATTTCATTTTTTACTTTAAATTAAAATAAAAATAAAAATAATTAAAAAATTATTTTATTATATTTAAAATAAAATCCTAAATTACAAAAAAAAATAATAATAAATTTCAGTTGTTACAGAAACATTGAAGGGGAAGAGTAATAGACATTTACAACTCATGAAATTTTGTTATGTTTATAATACAAAGACAAATTTCATCATATTTATAAATTGTAGCTATATAAATATATTGATTTAAAATATTTCCATCGTTAAAATAAATGGTAAAGATTTAACCCAACACTTCTTCCAAACTTGTAAACTACGATTAATCTTCTGTAATATTAAAGTTTATTATTGTTATTTTGAACTTTAAGAGTTCAAAAAAGGTTATCAAATGATTGGTTGAATTTGAAAAGTTGGTCTGACAAAAAATATGTAAAAAGAAAATGCAAATATTTTAAAATATGTATGAAAATTTATGAAAATAAATAGTAATCATATAATTTTAAAGCCTAAAAGGGCTGGCCTTAATCTTGAGAGACCATCAAAATTGTAACCTTACTTCCTAAGAAAACTGGGTGAGGCCTCTCATACCGAGTCTTATATATTTTTTATATTCTGAACTTTTAGATGTATTTAATTCCGTTATTTTTATAAATCGTTGATATGTTATTTTATTTAAATTAAATTGTATTTTCGTATGTGTTTAAAACGAAAGAATAGATAAGTGAGTTTCTCAATTTCTACCTCTAATTTGCTCTGAATTTTGAATTGAGGTGGAGCTTCAAAATAATATTCTTGGGTGGTAAAAAGCATGAATTCATTAATTATTTGAACGATTTATTTTAAAACTGAATTTTTTTATTGAATATTTTGTAATTGATTTTAGATATTATTTTATATTATTGATATATATATAACATTTATATTGATATTGAAATATGATAATAAAATATATCTAAAAATGACATATAAAGAAAGGTTTATAATACATACAAACTAAAATGAGAATTTACAACTATATATTTTTTAAGACCAAACGTAATTACATAAAACATTAAAAATAAATAAATAAAAAAACAATAACGATTTTATGTAATATAATAAAAATCTAATTAAATTGTAATAAATCTATATTAATTGAAATTTGAATGGAGAGAGAGCAATATAAATACCGTGTAAAATGCTTATCTGCATCCATGATATCTAATTTTACTTTTTTTTTTTTTGGTTGAATTTTTATTAATTAATATATAAGTTAATGATTACTATGTATATTATTTTACAGATTAAACTATTTTTTATAATCTTTATTTATGAATAATTT